ATCTCTGAAATATCTTTAAGTTATCTTTGTGTTTATTTTGTGTTTACCTCACGTGATTTATATTGAGAATAATCCTTTGACGTTATTGTGAATCTTCACCCGTAATTCCTTAAGTAATTGTCCTAGTTTTATTTACTCTTTTTGAGATTTTATTTGAAGCCACAAAACCATCGTGACAACATGATTTGCATGAAGAAAAAAATATATAAATTTTTGACGAATTCAAAAAATAATACTCTAATATTTAAAGAAATAGGGCAAGAGCTTAAATAAAATTAAATTTTAAAAATTTTAACGCATAAAATGTCGCAATTAACTCAAAAAGAGAGGCATTGAACAAAATACGCCTAACTTAGTCAACATAATATTAGATGAAGAAGTTGTGACAAATATACTTGAAGATAATCTAGATGAATTAACGAATAGAGAATTAAACAGATGGAAATTATATCAAATCGGTATAAGTATTAAAATTTCATCATAAAACTAAATGTAATTTTTATTTTTTACGTAATATAATTAATTTATAAGCAATTTTTAATTTTCTTAGTCTAAGGCATTTACTCTAATGCAGAGAGAGTAAATATATAATAAATGTTATTTACATAAATAATTGAATATTTCTAACCTATCCTTATCTTTTTATTTGAAGCAAGTATTAAATCATGTAATTCTCTTTAAATAAATCCTAAAAATTCTAAAATTATTATAATTTAAAAAAATATGAAATTAATTAGCCCAAAGTGAAGTGAAAGACTATAAAGGACTAAATAATGTGATCTTGATGTTTGTCTACTTATTGCTTAAGTTAATGCTAATTGGCTTTTATAATATTTTTTAGTTAAGATCATTCCAAACTTAACAATAGTCTCCTTTTTCTAATGATAAAAGTAAAAATAAATCTAAAGCGGACTGAATTACTTTAAAATTTTTTATAAAGTAGGTGTATTAATATAAATTAAATATATATAATAATAATATTATAAATTAGTATATTATTCTAATAAATAATATAATTATAAATATAAAATATATGTATTTTGTGATTAATACAATTAATATTTAACAATTATTAATTATTGTATCTTTTTAAAATTATTTAATATTTTATGAGTATAAAAATAATTGAATCTATTTTCACATTTCACAATTTTAATAATTGCAGATTTTTAGGTTTACTACTATTATCTTTCATAGTTTATGATCATAATTCTTTTTTTTACTTTAAAATAAGAGAATATTAATAACTTAATATTATAATATACTGTATATCTATAAATTTAGATATATAATATACTAGTATATATATAATATTAAATTTGTTAGTTTATAAAGTCTATAAACAAATTTTTGTTATCTGAGATTAAGTTAAAAAAAGATTTAACTATTGATATACTTTTGATAAAATTGATTATCAAATATATTTAAATTACGCATATCATTATATAAATCAATAAAACCATCCTAAACTTTCTAATTATAACAATTCTTTGAAGTTTAAACATTCAAATTAAAATTTTATAAAATCTTTTATTTGTCATTACTTGCTAATAATATAAATTACCAGGTTTTAGTTTATTGATTTTTCTAAAAATTGAATTTAGCATAAATACAGCATATTTTATAAGTAATTACTTAATATACTTGATAATTAAAGAATTATATACTATAAAATTCACTTAAAATAAAAGTTTATAACTAGGAAATAAAAACCTTTGGAGAATTCAGAGTGAAAAATTTTGTATTACCTTTTATTAAATTTTATTATTAATTATGTTGTAAAATCTCCAAGTTTATAATTAGATAAAAAAATGTAATAAATATTTATATGTAAAAATAAATAGAATGATATTTAAAAAGTATATAATAAATATAAATTAAACAATATAACATTATCAAATTATCTATTTATTATTAATCATTATAATTGTATAAATTAACGTTTAATTAAGTGTGATTTACAATCTTTTATTCTAAATATAATAATTTGACATAATGATCATGATATGTGATATTCGATTAAAAAAGTAAAATATAAGCTACTATAGAATTTTCCTTAGCATACATAATGGATAATAAATTTGTAAGTTATGACATTTTTCGAAAGTGTAAAGCTAGAGAGAATAAAATACCTAACAAATGTGAAACACGTCTTGTAAAGCAACATGAAAGCAGGTGGCAAAAAAAGAGCAGAAGAAGATGCTAAAAAGAGAGAAGCATGTGTCGCATGTGATAGAAAATGAAAACGTATAAATTAAGCAACAGAAATAGAAGAACAATAAGAATAACGCCTTAATTATTATCGTGAATGAAGAAAATACTTAAAGAATATTTAAAATATAATGGATCAGACTTGAATTCACGATGATCACTACTGCAGTAAAATCCTCAAGATAATAGAGCAGACACACGTGCTGAACTAAATGCACTTAGTAAAGCTAAGTAAAACTTCTAAAGAAATTCTGTGATAAAGTTGATAAATTTAAACATATTTATTGTCCTATGTGTAATAAAAACTTTCTATCCATTTTACTTATAAAGGGAGAATGCTGATATTATTATGGCAAAAATATCAATCTAGAGAAGAATGTCACTACAAAAAGATTCTCAGCAAATAGTAATATTGACACAGATAAAGTGCCTGATGAATTTTAGGACCTTACGGAGATTGAAAAAATGTTAATTACAAGAGTTTTTTCTGTAATGTCAGTTTATAGGCTTCATAAAGAACAATATAGATATTATAGAAATATAATAAACTTTTCTCAAGATATTCAAGAATTTGTCTCAAGACTTCCTCAAAATCTATCATTATTAGATGTGCTTATCATATGTTATTAATCTGTAAGCAATTTGAGAGCATTTAGGGATTTCAGAGTTTGTCATGCTAAAGTAACTCATGCATTAATATAGTTAAAAGAAAATAATCATTATTATGCTGATATAATCATTGACTATAAAGTTCTCAACTCTTTGCTACTTGATGATACAATAGAAGAACAGTTTCAAAAAATTAATAATGATGATTATGACGAAAATGAGAATGATATGATTACACGTACCTTCATTCACTTTCTTCTTCAACTAATCATGAAGAAGTTGCCATTAGAAATACTCTTGATTGAATACAGAATAAAATTTGTCTTATAATGTGGCTGCAAATAAATGGTAATTCTGTTAATGAATTTCAGATGCCAGAGTATATTGCGTGTGTATTTCTAACCTTATATCTAACTGGATGTGTAGATCTTCACACAAAATGTATTAGAGATGTAAAACCTGCTGAGTATTTCAGACACCTTCAGAGATAGAAGATTCACGCGGTCATATTTGTTCACAGTATTTCACATTGAATTTATAGATGTATTAGCGAGAACTACAGGAAGAAAGATGTATGTTAAACAAAATATTACTGATGTGCAAATTACCATTATAGATATTAAGGAAAGAATTAGCTAAGACGATAACAAAATAGCTGATAGAATCATAAGATTTGAAGAAGATTTATGCAGATCTTATCAATTCTGAAATGTTCAACACAAAGAACTGTACGATTAAATTAAACAATTAGGATCTGATAGTTTAATATTTTTTAAATTCAGTGCTATCGATTTGCATTGGCCTGAGCTTTATAGACTTATACCATCTAACAGAAATGGTAAAACTTTGGCCAAATGTTATTACTAAAACATTGTGGATAATCCTCACATTGCAGTCTGATTTTTTAATAAACAATTCAAAATCTTTTTCAACGATATTCTAAAGAAACAATGGATTTGGAGATTAGTGTTATAGGTTTGAATGGCAACATTGCAGCAGTATTCACGTACATAGAATTAGAAAAATAAGAAATACGCCTATGATTAAGTGGAAGAAGATGAAGAAAAATAAATAATCTAAAACTGACAATGTTATAAAATTAATTAAAAATTTAATGAATAATGCTAAATCAAAGCAAGTAAAAATTAATTGCTTTGTTTCTGATTCTGCTAAAGAATATGCTGCAGCAAGATAAATTAATTAATTCATTATATTTTAAGATTCAAAAATATAAATGATATTAATTTTATTTTATCTTTTTAGACGTCAAATGAGAATAGAATATCCTAATAAAGTATTTTTGCCTTGTATAACACATCAGATGAATTTAGTTGTATGAGATATTTTTAAAGAATCACCTCAATTTAAACAAATATCAAAAGATGCAGTTCGTATTGTAAGCTATTTTCATTCTTCTACATATTTTACTGGATTATTGCGAAATGAGCAAATGTCATATTATGGTCAAATAATAGTATTAATAACTTCAGGTGAAACACATTGGAATAGTTATTATTTTTGTTTTCATAGTGTTTTGAAAACAGAAGCAGCCTTAAAGGTAAATAAGAATATCATTAAAATTGTTGAGAGTTTGGAATTTTTGAGTTGATTATATAAGCTTCAGAATTTATTATTACCATTATTGTTGCATTGAATAAATTACAAAAAGTTGTTGCACGATTATTTGAAATTACACATTGTTTTGGTTGGATAATTAAAATTTTTACTTCTCATGAAATGAATTTGGTAATCATATGGTAACAAGATTGGAATCTCGTTGGGCACAATGGGAGCAACCATTACTTTTACTTTCAATTGTTCTTCATCTAAAATATCGTATTTCAAAATTTAAATCATTTAATAAAAAAATTTCTTATACACACTTTGGATAATGGATTATATATTACTATCAAGCATGGTTTGACAAAACACCAAAAAGAATTCTTCGAGAATATCTATCATATCAGCGAGAGATTTTTCCATTTAATTCTGACACTTATAATCAATTTGAAGAGAATATTGTTTATTTTTTGGGAAGCTGCCAAAGGATAGGCACCTGAACTTTCGCGTTTAGCTTTACAACTTTTTGGAATATGTGTAAATGCAGCTCCAGTAGAACACCTTTGGTCAACAATGGGATTTTTACACTCAAAACGTCGAAATAGGTTACATATAAGTATATTGTTACTAAATTATTTCATTTCACAAAATCAGATTCACAAAAATATTTTATAGCATAAAAAGGCTTTGACTATGGCTCAATTGCGAAGTAATATATGAATAAAAGAAAACGTGAATATATAGAAATCTCTGAAAGACATTACAAGCGAATGCATATAGCTGAACCAGTACAAGAACATGAAACAGATGAAGGATGTAATGAATTTACATTTAATGCTTTTAATATTAGTGATAATGAAGAATCTGACGACAATATTGACGATACCTTTGAAAATATTATTAATAGCAATAATATTAATTCCGAACGATGGGTTAAAATAATTGAAGATTGGATTGAAATGGTAAATATAGAGTGAAAATTATATAGGTGAATCTGACAAAAGACCATATGATTTTGAAGTTGGTAGACATGATATTCATCCGGCAGATAACATATTAGCTAAATGGAAATTGCTTGATTTATTTGACGAATCTTTAGAAGCA